TTCCCCAAATGTTCACATGGGCTGATAGTAATAAATTGATTCATACATTTCTAAATGTTCACTGATCAAAATGGGGAAAAGTAAGTTAAATAAATACCCCAAGACATTTGATGAAATGTACCTTTCATTCCTGAGAATCACTTTTAGAAAAAATAGAAATCAAAATATACTTATGATGTTTTTGTTGTTAGGTGCCATGGAGTCAGTTCTGAGCCTTTGTACAACAGAAAGAAACACTTCCAGGTCCTGTGTCATTCTCATGATTGTTGGTTGCTGTGTTTCACTTCCTTGTGGCAGTCACTGTGTTAATTTATCTCATGAATCCATCTTGTGTTCTCTAACCCTCTACTCTCCCAAGCGTCAAGTCTTTCTCCCGTGTCACGTCATAATGGCCCCATTATGCTTAATGCTGAAATATTCGAAACCTTGACATTCAAGTCTGTGTTAGAAAACAGATCTGTGACTCAGGGTGAATTAAAACCTCCTACTTTCCAGTTTTCAGACAAGTGTGTTAATTACAACAATAGTACCTCCCAGATACTGAGGGTTTGGATCCTGATTGACACACCGGTTTCCCAGTGCATACAAATGTTACGTTTACACTATACTATAGTTTGGTAGCGTAGTGGATATGATTCGGGCTGCTAACCTCAGGATCAGCAGTTCGAAACTACCAGCTGTTCCACGGGACAAAGTTGAGGCTTTCTGCTCCTGTAAAGATTTACAGCCTCAGAAACCCTGTGCAGGGTCACTATGAGTTGGAATCAACTTCATGGCACATAACAACAACAACAACATAGTCTGTTAAGTGCACAGTAGCATTATGAAAATGCTTGAAGTATTGTAAGAATCATCAAAATGTGACACTGAAACATAAAGTGAGCACATGCTATTGGAAAAAATGGTGCAAATAGATTTGTTCGATGTAGGGTTGCCACAAACCTTCATTTTTGTAAGAAAATACAGTATCTGCAAATCACACTAAAGGGACTATTTCAATGCAATGAAACATGTCTGGTTTTGCAGCACCTGGGTCTCCTTCTAGGAGAAAAGTCATGCAAAATGTCAGACACATTTTGATGTGGTTCCATTTTGGATTACTAGTTTTTCATGTCAAATTATTATTTAATTTTACCTTTAGTGGCAGAATTATTTTCACAAATTGAGTAACAGATTTCCTGAAGAATATAGACAGGGGTGTGACATTGTGGATTAATGGGCTGGACTGTAAAATCGGTTTGAACTGCTAGATCGGAAGCTCAAGCTCACCGGTGCTACTTAGAAACCCTATACTGGGTCCGTTTGGGTTGGAACCAACTCAACAGCACTTAATAACAACAACAACAGGTGGCTGGCATTAGGATAAGTATCTGGGAGTAAGATATTTCAGGAAGAATATCAAACATATGAAATCATTTAACAAAACTCAGATACTTATCCTTATGCCAACAACCTTGCCCTGTTTATAATAATGTGAAATAATACTTATTTTCTTACTGTGTATAAGTATTATAGAAGAATTGATGCATTTGAGTTACAGTGTTGGGGGAGAATGTTGAATGCACCATGGACTGCCAAAAGAATAAACAGATCTGTGTTGTAAGAAGGCAGCCAGCATGCTCCTTGGAATTCAGGAGAGCCAGACTTCCTCTCTCATACTTCAGACATATTGTCTGGATGGACCAGTAACTGGAGAAGGGTATCATGACTGGTAAAGTGGAGGGTCGGGGAAAAACAGGAAGACCCCAACGACATGGATTAGCACAGTGGCAGCAGCAATGGGCTCAGATGTGGCAACGATTGTGAAGTTGGCCCGGGACCCCCGGCAGTGTTTAGTTCTGTTGTGCATAAGGTCTCTATGAGTCAGTATCATAACAACAACGTACAAGTATTATGTTAGTCACACTTATCTAGTTATTATTTTTAAGGGTACATTACAAACACGTTCTATGAATGATATCACTGTTTTTCAAAATCAGAGCGATCATAAGCATGTGGTAGACAGTAACCGTGCAAAGGAGTATTTTTAACTCCAGAAACAAAATGCTTAATCAGAACTATAGAACACTTCCCCAACCCAAATAAAATTTATAAAAAACCGGTGATGGAATCTGTAAACAGAGATTTCAGTGGTAACTACATCTTATTTTCTGTCCATGTACTCATGAGGGAACAATCTGAAAGCAAACACAGCTCAGGATCCACCCTGATGATTCAGAAATTCTCCTGAGCACAGCTCTAGAGGGCCTCCTAGAATTGCCCTCCGGCTTCAATTAAATGTACCCACTCTTACACAACCTGCCTTGGGGCCGATGATAAACCCTTTGTATGGAGCAGCAACCTAACTGGCAGTTAACAATGGAACAATGGCCTTAGGAGAGAGTCCTGTTCCCTTTTCTGCCCTGCCTTGAATTTTATTGAGATTTTACTGAGCTCTCTGCCTTTACAAGGAGATGCAGACTATATCCACCCATACCTTGCTGCTGCCAATGCATCTGGAATATTTTCCCCAGTGGGGTGTTTTACCGGCTTAGAGAGCTAGTTTGATCTTTTTTTTTCTTTTAAAGGTGATATTTTTATGAAATCATTAGGGGAAGAGAAATCACATGTCAATAAAAATAATAGAATTTGGGATATGTTAGGAGAGAGTTGATTTCAGTTTCTTTATAGATATGTTTTCTAAATTCCAACTATTTTTGTCCAAGCAATCTTGTTCTTAGTGCTAAATCTTCTGTAATAGATCCATCCAAGGTTTTCTACATATTGGCTATATCTATGCAATTATTATCATAATGTCAGATTTTCTGCGACAAAGAATCCTACTTCTCCACTAATAGAGGCGTACAGAAAACCTCCATGAAGTCAATATTGATCCTTCTGGTAAGATTTTTACTCCTGTATTGGGGCTAGATTTGGAAGGTGTAAAGTGGGTATGAAAATAGGAATAAATGATTCTGAATCAGAAGATAGTTGTTATTTTCTCTTAATTCTTCTGGTTTTTATCAGTTTCCTTTTCCTTATAGACATGTCAGATTAAACAACTGTATAGTTCAGGGATCCTACCTAGTATCATATGCCATATTAGAAGTTTTACTTCACAAGTTCATGTAAAATCAGGGGAAAGGAAATAAGATGAGAGAGAGGTCAAGAGAAAAAATGATTTCCTTAGGGAAGATTCCTGACCCATGGGGCAGGTTCAGAATTAGCGGTAGGAGCATTTTCTTCTCCAAATGTGCATGGAGAAATGGCATGATTCTGAAAAATGCTATTTCTTGAAAAAAAAAAGAAGAAGTAGAGTTTAGGAATGCAGCTTTCTAATGCTGTGCTTAGTGGGAACCTCTGTCATCTCTAAACTCACACTTGTCTCTGACTCCTCACATCCATCTGTCTCTTGCTTCTTTGATCTTTGAGTCAGATAAAACCAGTAGAAGACATATATGTTAACTGCTTGTTATATGTCAGGATTTATCATACTTTCTGTGAATAAAGATGATTCAGGGAAGATCCCTGCCCTTGAATATTTTATAGTAGCAAAGAAAGACACATCTTTTCAATATAATCAGTTAGAGCTAAAATGAAAGCAAGTATATGTTGGTGTAGGTGCACATATATTTCTATGATAGTCTAGGTTTTTGTAAATATATCTGTGTTTATCAGCATTCATTTGTAGTTGGAATGGAAGTGAGGAATGAGGCAAGGATTGAATCAGTAAGGAAAATGTTCTTGGAGAATATTTTTCCTAAATGGGGCTTTGAAAACCTGCAGTTATTAGTTGGATGAAGAAGGGCTAGAAAGCATAGCAATCTACTAGGCTGATCAGTTCTTCAAACGCTCTTTCATTACATTACGGTCTAGTTGAAGGCCTCACTTTAAACTTGATGAAAAATATTTGGTTTTATGCTCTATATCCCCTTTTGTGAACCTGAGAAACATTGTCCAATGATTCTATGTTTTCTTCCTTTGTTGAAAAAAAATGCATATATTTCAAATATGGATTATTTAAAAATTTTAAAAATCAAAAAGCATACTTTTTCTATGCAAAGAGTTTGTGGGAAAACATTAAAATAGGAATGATTGGGAGGACTACTCAGTCACTTTTGGAGATTATGAAACACCTTTTTATGATTTAAAAGTTATTAGAGGTTTATGACAATAATTTTTGTTTTACTAAATTAAATAAGCATCTATATATCCCTGATTCCTTAATGTAAGGGTAAAGTTAATGTAATCATTGTGTTTATATGATTTTATATGAGAAAATATTCATTTCTCCACATTTTCCTAATGAAAAAGTTATAGACATAGTTTTCAATCTCTATATGTATTATACATATAATGCAAGCTAGTGGAAAATGATGATTGGCTGGTGGGTGAACAAAGCTGAGTTTGTGTTAAATAAGTAACTACCCAAGCTGGTGGTTTAGATGGAACTCCTGTCATAATGGTTCATGAGCTCTTTTGGAAGATTATTCTCAATTAAATTTAGCAGAGTTGGACATAGGATAGCAAAGAGATTATCCACAGTATGCTCTTACCCCTTGGTTTCCCAGCTGTTTAACGACAGGCTATTTTTGGAGAAACATGTCAAGTCTATAAATTATATTGTTTCTCATTCTTCTATACTCTTGGGACCATCTTTTCATAAAGGACCCAACATGAATAGTTACATGTCCAATCAAACACAAGCCCACAAACAACAAAAACAAGCAAAATAAATAAATAAACCTGCATCATCATGAGGAGGGAACCATGTGGCAAGAGCAGTTTAAGAGACAGTTGTTTCAGATAATAAACTAAAAAAAGGTGTACAACTTTGCAATTAAATTCTATCTATTGCTGTTATCAGAAATGTGGAATGCAAGATAAAGAAGTTGGTTTCTTTGCTCTATTCTTTTCTTGCCAGATTATACCAATAATGGAATGCATCATCTTATAAAATTCTGTTTTGTAGCAACTATTATTGATTGTCTGCTAAGGACCTGATAAAGGAAGAGCTAGAAATGGTTGATAGTGGTGGGGGGCAAATCCTAAGCCTCCTAACTCTGAGACAGACAAACCAGACACAAGTGACTGAATTCTTCCTCCTGGGGCTCGCTGATGACCCATACACCCAAAAACTCCTCTTTGTCTTATTCCTGGCTGTCTACCTGGTTACTGTGCTTGGAAATCTGCTTCTCATGTCCCTTGTTCAAATCGACTCCCGACTTCACACACCCATGTATTTTTTTCTCTGCAATTTGTCTCTGGCTGACCTCTGTTTCTCTACCAACATCGTTCCTCAGGCCCTCGTTCACCTGCTATCCAGGAAGAAGGCTATTTCATTCATGCGTTGTGCAGCTCAGCTTCTACTCTTTCTCATTTTTGGAGGTACACAGTGTGCCCTTCTGGCAGTGATGTCCTATGATCGATATGTGGCCATCTGCAGTCCTTTGCATTACTCTAATGTTATGACATGGAGGGTGTGTGTCCAGCTAGCCACAGGATCATGGACCAGTGGAATTCTCGTGTCTATTGTGGACAGTACCTTCACGCTAAGGCTACCCTACAGAGGCAGCAATAACATTGCTCATTTCTTTTGTGAGGCCCCTGCACTGTTGGTTCTGGCATCCACAGACCCCCACACTTCAGAGATGGCCATTTTTCTTATGGGGGTGGTGATCCTTTTTATACCTGTTTCCCTAATTTTGGTATCCTATGGCAACATTATAGTGACTGTGATCAGGATGAAATCAGCTTCTGGCAGGCTTAAGGCATTCTCTACTTGTGGCTCCCACCTCATAGTTGTCATCCTTTTCTATGGGTCAGCAATTATCACCTACATGACACCAAAGTCTTCCAAAGAGCAAGAAAAACTAGTATCTGTATTCTATGCAGTAGTAACCCCTATGCTTAATCCTCTCATCTACAGTCTGAGGAATAAGGATGTGAAGGGAGCTCTGAGAAAAGTAGCCACAAGGAAATTTCCATGCAGGCTTGGGATCAACCACTGATAGTGACCTCAAAAACTCTGCCACTCCCTTCTTGTAAGACTTGATGAGCAATGGTCTTTCCTGTGAACCTGCAATATGGAAAGATTCTCACCTTTGGGCTTTGTTCCTTGGTTCATCGTCCATCCTTCATCTAGCATTATATTGTCAAGGAGAAGTATAATATCTAATGGATCAATAATATGGTGTCTTTGCTTCCTTCTCCTTGAGATTTTGGCATCAGTTGCTGTTGTTGTTAAATGCATTGAGTCAGTTTTAGGGTTACCAAGGAGTGGCTGGTGTGTATGAACTGCCAACCTTGTGGTTCAAACTGACCTTATGGTCAAGTGCTTAGCATACAGCACCACACCAGGACTCTCCTTTGACATCTGAGGGTTAGGAAATCTCCATTGTTAGGTTACTGGTAGGTACCATCGAGTCAGTTCTGACTCAAAGTGACCCTATCCATAGCAGAACAAAACAGTGTCTGGTCCAGAGCCATTCTCATAAATATTTTTAGCCCATTTTTGCTGTCCTGTGTCAATCCATCTCATTGAAGGTCTTCCTCTTTTTCACTGACCCTCCACTTCTCCAGGGAATGGTCTATCCTAACAACATGTACAAAGTATTAGAGACAAAGACTTGCCACCCTTGCTTCTTAGAAGCATTCTGGCAGTACTTCTTCCAAGACAGATTTGTTTCTTCTTCTTGAAGTCCGTGGTCCTTTCAATATACTTCTCCAACACCATAATTCAAAATCAGAGATTACATAGATTTTTCTATAGTCTTCTTTATTCATTGTCCAAATTATAGATAATGGGATGCTTGCTGAGCCAAAGAAATTGAGTGGGCTTAAGCCCACTGCCACAACTTTTTTCACTATAAAATGTCTTCTGATTGAGATTGATGTTGTGTGGAACACACTGTCTTTCGATAAGAATACTCTAAGTCAGTGAATGGTGATGTTATAAGAAACATTAGACATCTGTTATGAGAACAAAACTACTAACTCCTCAATGATGGAAGTGGTCCAGTGTAATCAACATACCAACGAAGGTCAATTGGTTCTCCTGGTGAAGAGTGGTAAATCAAGTGTCAACCACATCTAATATAAAGAATTTGATTCCTGTGAAAAGTTCCCTGGTGCCCCCTTTCAGTCAATGGAAACCATTGATCTGTTTATATTTTTAGTATATATTTATTTTTGAATTTTTACATAAATAACATAAAATAAGCATTGAGTCTTTAGTCTGGTTATTTTTACACAGATAACGATTCTTAGACATATCCATTTTAGGGCATTTTATATAAAACATTTACTGATGAAGATCAAAGAACACAGCCTTCGGTATGAATTGCATCTCAATGTAAATAAAACAAAAATCCTCACCAGTGGGCCAATAAACAGCATTCTTATCAATGGAGAAAAGGTTGAAGTTGTCAAGGACTTCATTCTTTTTGGATCAACTATCAACACTCACAGAAGCAGCAGTCAAGAAATCAAACGACGTATTGCATTAAGCAAATCTGTTGCACAAGATCTTTTTATAGTGTTGAAGAGCAAAAATGTCAGCTTGAGGACTAAGGTACACCTGATGCAAGCCATGGTATTTTCAATAAACTCATATGGATGCAAAAGCTGGACGGTGAATAAGGAAGACTGGAGAAGAATTGATGCTTTTGAGTATGGTGTTGGAGTAGTGTATTGAAAGTGCCATGGGCTGCCAAAAAAAAACAATAGATCCATTTTGGAAGAAGTGCAGCCAGAGTGCTCCTTGGAGGCCAAAATGGCCAAACTTCATCTCTCATACTTCAGACATGTTGTCAGGAGGAACCTGTCGCTTGAGAAGGATATCATGTTTGGTAAGGTGGAGGGTCAGAGAAAAAGAGGAAGACCTCCAAGAAGATGGGTTGGCCAAGTGGCATCATCGATGGACTGAAACGTGGCGACAGTAGTGAGGTTGGCACCAAATCGGGCAGCGTTTTGTTCTGCTGTGCATAAGGTCTCTATGAGACGGTACCAACTTGATGGCACCTAACAACAACAAATATATGAATAATCTGTTCCTTTTTGTTAATAAATACTATTCCATACATGGTACACGAGAAAATGGGAGGATTATACACAATCAAGAATACAGATAGAGAAGAGAAGTATCTCATTTTTGTGACAAAAGAGAAACAGACAAACATGTATAGATGGACACATTATAGATATTGTTGTTATTTTTAAGTGCTGTTGAATTGGTTCCAACTCATAACAGTCCTGTCTAGGGTTTCCCAGGCTATAAATCTTTGTAAGAACAGAAAGTCTCATCTTTCTCTTGAGGAGCAGAGTTGACCGTGGTGTGACTGTAGTAATTTTTGTAGATATTGTTGAATAGGAACTTAAACAGGTTTGTAAAACTCTACCAAAAACTACAATAAATTATTTTTCTAAAGTACATGAACTAAGCATTTTCATTAAAAGGCAAAGACGGTAAGGCTGTATAAATAAAGCAAAACCTCATAACATGCTGTCTATATAAGATGAATTTTGTATACAGAGGCACCATTGATTGAAAGTATAAGAAAGGAGAAAAGATGTACCATGGGGACTCTAGCCATAATAAAGCTGGAATGACTATTCTAATAATAGAAACATGGTAATATAAGGAATAGTAGCAGAAATAGAAGCCCTGGTGTGGTGCTGTGGGCTAATGTACCAGATTGGTAAGCCATTTGAACTGCAAGTTTGGCGGTTCAAGCTTACCAGCTGCTCCTCGGAAACTCTATACAGGGTCGCCATGGGTCGGAACCAACTTGACAGCACTTAACAACAACATCAGAAATAAAAAGCAAAGTATCATAATGATAAAACTATCATTAATTAAGACAATAAAAGAATGCTAAATGTAACTACACAGGGAATCCTGGCATGGCACTGTGGGATAAGCACTGGATCACAAGTTAAGT